TGTATTCCTGCATGTCTGGCTACTGGAGGCTGTGGAAGAGTGAGCTGGTGACTGCATCTGCAGGGAGAGGAAAGATAATGAGCCTCCTGATTTCCTAGCAGCTGATGCCTGAATGATGGCTCTTAATTGGCTTCTCTCTGCAAAAATTCTCTCCCAGCAGCCCCAGGAGAGATAGAATTGCCACAGGCTGTGCCTCCCCACACTCTCTCCACTGCAGGCTGTTTTGGGGCAGCAAAGAGGAAAGGATAAGCTAGGTGAAGAGATGCACTGCTAAATGCTTTTATAAATTTTTTTGACAGAAATAGAAAATTTGCTCTTAGATAATTAGCTATTTCCTTACTGGATTACTGTGAAGGGAAAACACTGACTGTGCTATTAAGTGAGCCAAAGGACTTGCACTGCTTTAATTTCCTTGTGTCTCTTTTCTCACCATCCCCCAGAGGACAGATGGGGAGAGAATCAAGACATTTCTGCCCCACCAGCATGGCTGCAATTCTGCCCCACTGATGGGCACTGCTCAGAGAGCAGGTGGTGACTTTGCCTCTGCAAAGGGCTTTGTCCTCCTAGGCAGTGAAGGTGCTGGGAGTGCAGCAGGAAGGACACCCACATCATGCCCTGGTGGTTTCCACATCACCTGCCTCGGGGCTGACCCCGAGGAGGAGCAGCTTGCCTGAGGGTGTGTGGGAAGACCAGTGTTCCAGTGAATCCCTTCAGCTGGGTCCCACAGGAGTCTTATGTCCCCCACAAACTGCACCAGCTTCTTTCCTTGTGGGGAGTGAGATCCAGCGTGGCTTCATCCCAGCATCTCTCATCACCACTCCCCAGCCACCATTTGTAGCCAGCAGCCCTGTTTTGGCAGGCTGCAGCACTTGCCGAGGGGCGAGTGTTGCGAGCAGAGCTGAGGGACGCAGGCAGTGTCTCAGATGCATTGGTTGCTCAGATCTGTGCTGAGGCGCTGGTGCTTTTTTCCTCAGCAGCTTTCTTCCTGGCTTCATCCCAGAACGAGGCAGGACTCAAAGACCACCCCCACCCTTGGCACAGGCTACATCTGTCCTGTCCTTAGCTGCTTCTGAAGGAAAAGGCCCACCAGAAAGTACTCACCTTGACACTGTGCCTGTAACAAAAGGAGCCCAAGCTGGAAGATGACATGTTTCCCACTGCTGGGAAAAGAAACCAAATCCTAGTGCACCTCAGAGAGTGTTGCTCCGAGTTCCTGGCGGAGTGAAGAGTACCTCCAAGGTAGGAGAGGGATGGAGGGGATGTTCAACCAGCCCAGGGACTGGGGCTGACTTGGTCCCCAAGGTCTTGCTCTCACAGCAAGGAGAGCATCTGGGACACCTGGTGATGGCACTTGTTGCAATCCAAAAGCCACCCAGTGTGTGAGGTAGAGGAGTGTCTGGGCACAGATTAGGCAGGGGGGTAGGGAATGGGCTTTCTGGTGTCTGTTTCATGGTGTCATTGGCTTAGGATGAGGGCTGGGAGCACTGGTGGGGCAGCTGGGCCAGGGCATGGGCATTCAGGCAGCAGTGAGCAGAAGAGTGATGGGACAGGATTGCTGGGGCCAAAGGGTTGTCAGACTGGCTGTGCCTGTGCTGGGGATGCCATACACCACCTGCAGCCAGCTGGTGGGGAACTCGGTTTCAAATGGATATCCTAACTATGGAGAACAAATTACTGATGAATGGAGAAGGGGCAGCTGTTCTGATATGTCATGGAACTCTTCAGCACCTCTTGTGATTATTTTAGAAAGCTCTGGGATGCAGGGAATGACAGCAGGTTGTGGTGTATGCCCTTGTAGGACTTCACTCTTTAACCAACCTTCCTTCACCCACATCTCAGAGAACACCAAATTCTCCCTCACCAGCCACCAGGAATCTTGCTCCCTCACTACCCCTCTGCACAGGTGCAGATCACCTCTGCACTCCCTGCCCTTTGCATCACCGCCCACAGCCATGACCTGCTGGGCTCCCTGCATTCCCTTCTTTCTGGATAGATATTTTGCTGGGACAGAACTTGAGGCTATTCCTCTGCCCCAAATTTCTGAGTATCCCCTATGGAAACATGACCATTACAGAGCTCTGATGTAGGGCTGGTGGTCCTGGTTGGGAGAGGGAACCCTTCTCTGGGAGGACAGGAGGGAAGGAGTGAAGAGTCACCTCTTCCACACCCACTGGTATGGTTTAGTTAAATAACTTCTTTGTAAGCTCAGTTGAATTTCTGGAGCTTGTGTCTTCCCTGACGGCTGTGCCTTATTGCCCTTTTGCTTCCTTCCCTTCTGCTCAGGCGGCTGCAGCAGGCACTGTGAGTCTATAATAAGTTATTCAGCAGTGATCACCACGCTGGTCCTTGGATTTCAATTTCCACATGTTTCCCTTCAGGCTGTTTCCAACTAATTTCTTCATTTGCATAATGCCCCTCTTAGGGATGCTCTGGCACAGCCCCTTCTCCCCCGCTTTGACAAGATCAGCAGAGATTCAGACTGTTAGCGGAAAACACTTTAATTCTGTTGACCCTTTAGCCTGGTCCTTCCCCATGCATCTCCAATTAAAAAAAGACAAAGAAGCAGTTTGGGGTGCAGGGGGACAGGGTGCCCACGGGGAGTGGGCTGAGGGCTGCTGCCTCCCTCTCATCCCCCAGGGGTCCCTGGAAAGAACCAGCTGGAAGAATTACAAATTCAGAGGAAAATGCACTTTCTTATTGTAGATTCTGGTCTAGCACCCCCAACAGATTTGTCTGGACCTGAATCAGCAGGGATACTCCCACCCCTGTCCCCCAGCTGGGGATGCTTGAAAGAGAGAGGAGGGCTTTAGCTGGGATGGCACTGAGCTGGGGGGGTAGGGTGGTGAGGCTCGTTGCCCCTGCTGCAAGGGCACCCATGGGTACAGACATCCCCACTCCTGAAATAGTGCTGTTGTCCTGCTTGGTTATTGGGAGGGATGGACATTGGGGAAGGCTGAGCACATGCAGGAGAGGGGAATGAAAACTGCCACTCTGCTGCTGGGTAAGTGCCCCTTGCCACTCCTCTCTAAGCCACTTCACCTCTTTTGGACAGCCCAGCCCTTTCCTGCAAATTCTGTCTCTCTGTCCACCATCAGAAACAAGATCTGTTTATTCCCTCCTGATGTTTGTATTCTTATGCCCCTCGTCAAGCACATTTTATGTTTCTACTACACACAGAGCAGCCTGCACAAACATGATACTCCAGTCTCTCTTTCTCCTAATTCTGGTCCATCCTCACAGGACAGAAAGCCTACAGCACTATCCCACTCTCAGTGCTAGTTGCTCACTGTGATCTACATTGAAATAATCTCCTTCCAAGTTGCCCAGACACCAGCTAGATTATAACTTCCTTTGGGAACTGTGTAAGCATCTCCTGGTTTAAGCAAGTGCGGCACTCCAGCAAAGTTCATCTCTTTGCTAGCCAGCTCTACATTCTTATAAACAGTCTTTTCTCCTGCTTTTTTATTAGCTCTTCCATGTTATAAAATGTAATGGGAACTTTCAGACCAGCTTCTGTACAGGTCTCTGATGTGCTTCTCTCTTTTATGGCTCAAGTACAACAACAATCGCAGACATTAACATGCTTCTTTAGGATGAAATGTACATTTGAATGGCACCCAGCTAGAGGAACATGCTGAGCCTCTTGCAAAGCTGGCTGCTGGGAAGGTGGTGAGAGGCACCCAGAGACTGTCTGCAGTCCCCTACACATGGGAGAAGAGGCGACAGGAGAGTCATGGCCAGGGAGAGGAGGGAGGGTCAAGGTGCATACTGGGGAGTGGAGGGTGAGGCATGGCTGCTTAACATCGGCCCTTTGGGGCAATCACTGCCTTCATGTCCAGCTCTGAAGCACTTGGCATATTGCTGGCAACATATGAATTAGCAAAAGTAAGATGTATGTGGGGATGCTTGGGATATCCTTGACAGGAGAGGCTTTTGGATGGAGATACCCCTTTCCTAGGTATGGGAAGGAGTGTGTTGGGGTCACCCCATGTGTCTCAGGCTCCCTCCACATCTTCCCTCACTGGATCTCATCCCCTTGCAAACAGCACTGCCACCCCAGGCTCTGTGTCGTGCTAGCCTTTTCTTTCCATCCCTCTGTGTTCAAGGCCCTGACCTACTGCCACTAGTGGCAAGAACCCACCCCTCCCAGGTCACTACTTAGGTAGAGATTTCCATTACAAGTCTTTTCAGGGCCCAGCACTCTGGGATGGCAACTTTACAGGGGCTCAGACTTGCAGTCATGATGACAGTCATTATTAACACAGAGAAAACTTTGCTGTCTTTACCAGCTTGCACCAACAATGGGAGAGATATTGTGCAATCACCAGCCTGCCTTCCTCCTTGTTTCTGGTCTGGGATGGGCCAGTAACTGGGATGTTCTCCTGCGGATCAGGGATCTGTTTGCAGAGTGATGCGAAGACCATGCCCTTTGGTCTTGTCCATGCTCTGTCCTCCTACTTCACCACAGCTGAGGGGCCAGGTGCCACCCCATGACACTGAAGTGAGAATGTCCCCATCACAGGAGTCTGAAGGTCCCACCAGGACTCTGGCCTCCCAGAGGAAACAGCAGTTATTCCCTGGCAACATATGCCATCTCCTCCCTGTGTGCCCCCTCTACAGGCTGAGCCTGGGCATCAATGATGGATCTTCCAGCTACAGGGCTGGGAAGGGTAGCTGTGGCCCCAGATCAGGGGTGGTAGCACCAGCCCAGCAGCAGTATGCAGTTTCTTTCACATCTTCCACCAGGCAAATGTGCTCCTCGCAGTTCCAGCAGCCATGTTGGTGCTCAATTCCCTATTGTTGGATGGTGGCACCCCACAGCCTCGTGGAGAACAGGGGGCTACTGTTTGTCTGAAAGGGGAAAGGACCTGTGTAGGGCATCCATGCCAGGGTCCTGCTGTGCAAGCAGCCCTTGCAGGCACTGGTGCTCTGTGCTCCACAGGAACGCTCAATCCCAGGAGGGCCAGTGGCCAGGGACAGCAGTGACATGCAGCCAACAGCTATACATGGCCCCCTTTCGAGAGATAAGCGATCAGTGCTACCACCACCCCGATGTACACTCCTGTGCCAATGGTTATGGAGAGCGCAGCAAGGAAGAGAGCTCGGCGGGAAGCTGAACTGGCCAGATGGAAATCTCCTTTGGAGACAGCCTTGCTGGTCTGGAAGGAGAAGAAACAGTTGTTGCTCACAGCTGTACCAACCTGGCCTTTTAACCAGCGTGCATTAGTTTCACTACTGAATCAGTCCCCCCTTCCCTGGTCACTGCATCCCATGGAGGCTGGGAACAGACAGCAAGGTGTCCGTCAGTCCAGGAGGGTTCAGAGCAGCAGTACCACCTACACACATTTCCCTGTGGATTTTGCCTCCAGGGTTTGCCTCCAGGCTGTTTGTCTGAAAGCACCCATCTGGGCACTCAGCCAGAGCTGTGAATGGGCAGCTAGACCCTCGTAAGACCAGGCAAACGGTTGGTGCATGGGTTGATGACTGTGTGGTACCAACTAGATACCAGTATACCCCATACAGATATATAATGGGTACTGTCCAATCCCAGGGAGCTGACTCCAGACAGCATGGTCCATTGGTCTGGGTGTACTGCCACCTGATTTTTCCTGCACAGGGTTTTCACTTGAAGCCTATTTGCTATAGAAGGGCTGATGGAGCCACCTGATGTGAGTGTTGACTCTCTGGGATGGCAACTTCCAGCTTCTCTGAGTGCTCAGGGTACATTCCAAGCTGCTCTTTGTATTACCTACTACTTGTGTTCAAGTTGCCATGTGGAGATCAGGGCACTCACTGTCCTTAAAGAAATGGTCCATACCTCAGTGAGTTAACAAAAGGGGTAGTTATAGCCAATGGAGCTAGATGTAGTTGCCCCACATACATCATCACGTGGAGAATGCACCGTGCTATCTTGCACCCTGTGGGGAAATGTGAAATCAAGTGCTCCTTGGGTCTGAATCAATAAATGTTTCCTCTGCCGCTCACCACCTCTGTGCCAGGCATTCATGTTATATACTTTTCCATTTCTGTTCCTATCCTTTGGAATTAACTTCCCCCCATCTATTCTTCGTACAGCAGAATCTATGCAAATGTGGAGTATATCCCTTGGCTCTGCATGAATTATTCTGGGTCAACAGTAATGCAAGTGAGTCCAGGCTCCAAGCTAAGCCCTCAAGAAGGCAGCAGATCCTCTGAGCTGGTGTGACCTAAGGGCTACCACCCTCTCCAGCCTCTGCTAGCCTGGCATTGGCACCCACAGCTTAACCAATGCACATCAGAAACAAGTGCAAGAGAGGAGCTGTATTGTGATGTGGAGACCAGGCTCCACTTTGTGTCCAGTCTCCAGAGCAGCCTGGCTCCCATGGTGTGAGCTGCCTTAGATGGGCATGGTGTAGAACCTCTGCACTGCTGGAGGATGGGAGGACAGGTGGGAAAATGCCTTTTCCTTAGCCCGGCGGGAGGGTGAGAAACTGGCCAAGAGAAGCACCAGTTCTCTAAATAACACACAAAAGACCCAAAGGAAAAGCCTGACCTCCAGTAACGCACGCAAAAGCTGGAGAACTTGCAACCCCAAAACAATTGTGGAGACATCCAGGAGCATCCTGTCCCTCAACCCTCAAAGTTACGGCCATGGAACGGAGGATGCTGGTCATCTCCAGGTCCACTGTGGTTTGCATGGCCCTTGCTCCAGTGCCCAGGGCACGCAGGCAAGCAGAGGGATCTCTTACCCCTTGGGAGAAGTAGAAGGCAGCAATCCCCAGGGGCCAGAAGCAGCACAGCATGGAGAAAAGGGCCAAGCCCAGGTGGTCCCGGGGGGGAAGCATCAGGAAATGATCCTCACTTTCACTGTCGCTGGAGGAGTCGCTCTGCAAAACCAGATGGATTCAGTACACGCCCACCTTCCCACACCGCCCCGGAGGCTGCGCCTCAGCCCCTCGCCTCCCAGCTCCTGCTCTCTCCTAGTCACATATTCTTTTATGTTTCCCACCAGCAAAATCACGGAGTGAATTTCAAAAATATTTTAGACTCTTCAGCGTAGTTTGATGAGGAACAATGTAGCTCAGCAAATTCAAGAGCAGAATGGATTCTCGGGTCCCTGCCAGAGCAAATGCTGAGCTCACTTGCTAGAGGTCTGGGATTTCCCTGTGTTAGAGAGAGTCTTAAATATCTTCAGCTTTGGCAGAACTGGCTGTTTGTCAGCTTAAACAAACTTAAACAAAGTGCCTTATCCCCATTAGGGACTGGGAGATCAATATCCTGCTAAAATAATTTAGGAAGTGAGGGAAAGCTGTTGAATTGGAGCCTCTATCACAGAGGCAACATGCCCTGTCCTCTTAGTGAGTGCATTGCTAAGTGGCTGCAGTCAGCCCTCCTGCCTTTGGGCACTGCTCAGCCAGCCTCAGACCACCCTGGAAGTGATGGGTCTCGATGGGGAAGGCACACAGAGGTGTGGACACCCCTGCTACCATCTGAAAAGGTCACACCACCAGCACCGAAAGCAGCAGAGCTGCGCTTGTTCATCAGACATCAGCTCCAGTGGGCTCCAGAGATCCCCTCCCACCTCTCAAAGTCTTGGATGATATTCCCAGCCTTGTCACCACTGCTCAAGCCATGCTGGGGCATAGCACAGCAACGAGGCTGCTTTGTCAGCTCTCATTCTTCCTTTGCAGGATTCATCCTGTCTTTATATAAAAGCCTTCTCTCAGCTGCTGGCATCAGGCATGTGAATTTTGCTGTTATGCAAGAATTGCTGTTTCTCCTCAGCTCAAGTGCCACAGCAGCAACAGGCTTGACAAAGGGACCCCATATCCCAAGGGTCCTGCAGAGACACACCTCCCCTTTGGTCCCAGCAGCATGCAGCCAGGCTGCTTTTAGGGAAGCTGACCTCCTTCTGAGGTCAGCAGTGAGGAAAAAGGAGCAGAAATGATAAAGAAGAAGAAATACTGGGTGCAAAGGGAGAGGCTGGTGAGGCAGGAGTTGGTAGGGTCTAGGTGGGGAGCTCTGAGGAAAGAAGGGAGAGTAACTTACCAAGAATTTGAGCCAATGTCCAGAATTACCAGAGGAGTTTAGTGCCATCCCACCTGGCAAAGCTCACCTCGTACTCCTGGAGCTCCTCTTCCTCCACCTCATAGGACACAGTTTGGATGTGACTCTCTACCAGGCAGGACCCTTGTGCCTCATGCCCATCAGGAGCTTCAGATGGAGCCTCTTTGCTTTCCGTAAAAGTGGTCTCGCAGCTTTCCGTCTTGCTGTCCTTGGCCTTGAGTGTCGTCTCATCCTTCACAAGGATGAAACTGGGGCCATACAAGGCTTCAACAGCCAGCTGCAGGGAACTGGCATCCAGCAGCTGGTGAGTCCTGGCACCGCCAGTGTTTTGGAAGATGTAGGAATACAGTTTCCCCTGGCAGCGATGACTGGGGTAGTCCTGGCTGTGATGCTGGTGGTAAGAATAGCTGCTGCGAAGGTGTCCGTTGGCCTTGGCCAAGAGCGGGTTTTGGAGCTCGCGCACGCTCTCCATGCTGCTGGCGGTGGTGGTGGAGGAGAGATCCTGCAGGAGCAGAGAGAGTGGGAGGGAGGAGGCTGTTGTTTCAGCAAGGCAAGGGAGCAGAAAAGCCTCTCGCCCATGCAGAGTCAATGTCAAGGCAAAGCTCGTAGGAACAGAAAGATTTGGCAATACTGGAGAAAACGAGCCCTCCCCACCTCTGCACAGCTTGAATGCTATCTCAGCAAACGGAGCATCTCTTCATCTCTCCCCAGCTGGTAGTAAGATAAGGATGCAGTCCTGCAACACGATGATCTGATTCAGGCTGGATTAGGATGAGGATTTGCTGTATCTATAATGTATCTTCAGTTAGCCACGTGCAGACTGATAGGAAAGGACCTACTGCATCTTTTTTGCTGGTTCATAATGTGTGCTGCAACAGAGCCTAACACACAGCACAGAAGTAGATAAGATGCTGACAAACACTCGAGGAGCCTCCCTGACTTCCCAGAGCAGAGGATCACGCAGTGAGTTACAGCCCTCTGGACATACACATACACCTAATTGGCTTTCAGGTACATGGGAGGTTCTCTAGGGTTCTTCCAAGGCTGAGCTGGGGCTGGGGCAAGAGCAGTGAGCCACTAAGGGAAGCCAGGGGGCTGCAGTGAGGACATGGAGGTGGTGTTTAGGCTGGGGTGAGAGTGTTGGATGCTCAGCCAGCTGTTTGGAGGAGAGATGTGGAGACTAAAGGGGCGACCCCATAGAGTTTGGTCCACTTTGAAATGATGACATTTTAAGTAAATGACCCATCACATCAAAGCCCTGTTTAAACCAGCTCCACCCCTGGGTACAGTGGCAGCTGTACAGCCCTGGCTCTGGGCCACCAGCTTCAGAAAACACTGAGTCCAAGTGGGATCCTCAGCTACAAATGTCAACATGGGTTTCTTCCTCAAGGAAATTCACCCCTCTCTCCCTTCCTCCATTTCAGAGTGCTGAAACCTTGTGCTGGGTTAGTTTTTTTCATGGAAATTTCTGAGATGAAATATTTCCACCCCTTTTCTTCAGAGGAGCATTTGCTATTTCAGATTCCCAACCCACCCTGGCACAAAGAAAACGTGCAGTGAAATATCAGTATTCCCCAGGAGAGAGAAACAATTACTTTGTGCTCTTCAGTACCTGAGCCCCATGTTTTAGTGTCTCTCTAGCACATTACAGACCATGCCACCTTATTGCCTCGCCAACCCCAAATGTTCCTGTCCTCCTCACAGGCCTTGGTCACTGACTCCTCTGCAGGATGCTGTGTAGGAGGGGCACACTTCCTCCTGCTATAGGATTCCCAGAGGTGCACTAGGCTTTCTGATAAATAACACATCACCTTGGTTTTAAATCTGTTCTCAAGAAGAAAATATAAATAAAGAAGCTGGAGATGAAGACTCCAGAGAGTGGAAAGCCCAAGTGGTCCTGTTCCATTGGCCAAACTGCCACACGATGCAGGTTTGGGTGTCATGCATGGTGTTAAATGGACCTATCTGTGAACTTTGTTCTGACAGTTTGTCACATTTTGGAAAGCTAACAGGAAAATGGAGCTGTTCAAAAGGCCCCTCATGCTGCTGAAACTCTGTATTTTGGTGAACACCCTCCACTTCTCCCCCCGAAAACCATTCTCTGCCTTCTGCAGTCTTCCACCACACTAATAAAGCCTGTAATGACTAATGCAGCAGAGAGCCGTTATGTATTTTCAAAATATTTAAGGGAGATGCATATTTGTAGCAATGATGGTTTTATTTCCCACAGAGACTCAGAGGAGCTCAAAGCTTCATTGTGGTTTTCAGACAGAGAAACCATGACCCTCTGCTTACCTTAACATGCAAGATTTATGATAAAATATCTTTTTTTTTCAACAAAACAGTAAGGAGGTACCAATCACTGAGTATCATTTGAGAATAGCAGCCCAAGCAAGAGCAGAAGCCTAGTGCTACTCAGAGAAAGTTGACGATTTTGGTATGGCATCCATACCTCATCTCAAGAAATGCTTCTGGCAGCAAGGTAGGGTAGGGAGGAATGGGATCTTGCTGGGAGCTGCTGAAGGGAGCCAGGTCCCAACGTGCTGAGAAACAGCAGCAGATGGCCTGCAGGCAGGCTGCTGGCCACAGGGCAGCAGGTGTTGCCTCTGTGGAAGTTGCTGCACTTCTCACTTTGGGTCTTCATCAGCTGGTTACAGAACAGGGAGAGCTGGGTGGCAAAGCCATACATTCCCAGTAGCAAGTGCTGGAAAAGAGATCGCAGTGGGAGAAAGAAGAGAAAGGAGCCAGGAGGCATTGGAAACCTAAAAGGCAGCTTGGGAGGTGGCAGGGGACCAGTGTGGGAAGAGTGCATCTATGCAGCTGGACATGGACTCTGTTGACTTTGGGCATCCCAAATGATGCTGAAGTGACCAGCTCGTGGGAGGCAGCTCACTGACTTAGGCTGAGGTGGAAGAAGCAGGCATGGCTTGCAGGTAGTAAACACCTTGTTGAACACACCTTGGATAAGTAACAGTGTGGGTAGCAAAAGAAATCACAGGAAAATACTGCTGAAGCATAGCAAAGTCTCTGTGAATATAGGCTGGGCAGGGCTGAAGGCTTTGTCCCAAGAGAGCATGGAGAGCCCAAACCTCTCCGGTCTCTCAAACTGCCCTGAAGCTGTCCCTAGAACAGGGCCAGGATGTCAGAGCTGTTGCACAAAGAGAGACAGGGTAGGACTATAGCTAGAAGGATTTAGTCCATGCTAGTCTTGTACCCTCTGGGCTTAGAAAATATTTGCCTGTATGACACTCTCTTTTCCTTGCTGCCTTCCACACTTGGGAGCTGGGACTGATACTTCCCTTGGGATCAGGATGGGGCAATAACAGAACTGCAGGGATGAGGGGAAAAGTGCAGAAGGAGATCTCACTGTGCTTCTGATAAACAGGCAAAGGGACCACCAAGAGAAGCCCTAGTGCCCAGTCCCAGCATTTGTCAGCAGAGGAGAAGGGACTCTAAGGGCCAGTGTCACAACATGCCTATGGCAGTGCTCAGGCCTGCTGGAAAGCAGCCAGGCTGAAACCTTTCTCTCCAACAGCTAGTGTGAAGAGTCCCAGTGCCAGAGGGATTAGAGATGCTTCCCGCTCCTTAGTCACCAAGATCAGCACGTTGCATAGAGACCATGCACCGAATGGTCTGGGTATGCAGGTGGAGATGAGAGCCATCAAACCTCTAGAGATTACATTAGAAAGGGAATAGCCGGGAGGGCAAGGACCAGCCCAGCATCCACATGTGCAGGGAAGGAGAGAGTGCAGCTGTCCCTGCAGTTGCCCACAAACCCTATTTGGTTTATGTGGATTCTACAGTGAATTTACCTACACAGGTTCTTAATAAAGTAAGCCTAGTAAATAAAGTAAGCCTGGTAATAAAGAAAGCTGTTAATAACCAAGCTTGGGGAAAGAGGAATGAAGTCAGCAGATGAAAGCAAGGAAGCCATAAAAGACAAAATTGGTAAAGAGCGGCCATTCTCAATCCTCATTACCAGCAATACTGGATAGCATGCACATCCTTCAGCCCCACGGAGCTAGTCTGGGCAGTACTGGCAGCAGGTACAGTGGTGAAATGCTACTCGGTGCACAAGGAGGATACACACACACAAGTGTGACCCCAGGGGGAGGGCACACCTGGGAGGAGGCAGACTTCAGTGCCCTGGTTGAATTGAACCATTGCTGCAGTCCTACTGCCGACTGACAGCTGCTGGCTCCCAGCTGAACTGCCTCCCGCTCCGCACGGCTGCTCCCGCAACCAGCTGGCTGGGCAGGGCCCCCCGTGCTCCCCAGCTCAGTTGCAGCAGTCCCCAGCAGAGTGGGAAATGCACAGCTGCGTTGTGTATTCTGTTTCTCAAGGCAAAGTACTGGGTAAAAGAAGCCAAAATAAGGCATGAAAATAAAGAGGTAGCCAATTGAGCTTTGTGTTTGACAGATCTCACCCCCACACCACATCCCCTGAGGCAGTTCTCAGAGGGACCCTTGGCACAGATGCCAGCTATGATAAGCCAGTTAATGATAAATTAATTAGCTGTTCCAGGAATCAATCACCATTTAATTGCCCTGTCAAGCAAACACTCTGCCTTGCTTTCCAGGCTCTTTAGCAGGTTGTGGCTGTGATGCATGTCCCCAGACTCCCGAGTGAGAAGGTTAGCTCACCCTGGCCAAAAGCCTTCCCTTTCAGGACAGCACTCTGGGAGGTCGGTGCCCTCAGGGAGTGGTGCCCTGCTGCACTGCCATGCCCTGGCTGGTCTCAGGGCAGGGGCCAGTGTGAGTGGCTGTTCCTGATCCAGCTGATATGAGAAAGCATCACGGTCAGGTACATCTGCCATAGTGCCAGGTCAGAGGTAAGCCCACTCAGATGAAGCAGAAAAGCATAGGAGATGTGTCTAGAACCCTTCTCAGAGCCTAGAACTTCTTAGAAGCTGTAAGGAGGTGCTCTGGGGCTTCTAAGCAGAGGCCCAAGTCCTGCCAGGACACAATACCTCTGCCTCTGGTCATCCACACTTGTGATTCTGCCTAAGAGAAAACCAGCTCACAAAGGTGGCTGAGAGGCAAAGGCAGAGCATCACAGGGAGGGCAGTTGTCATTTTGGAGAGGGAATACAAGGATGAAGGAAGGGCTGTGAAGGCTCATGGACAGTGTGTCTAACAGGGGCAAACCAAGCCCTCTCTCAACCCTAGGAGTCCATGCAGCAGCATGGATAGCTGCTGTGCCCCAGACTGGAGCCCCACAGGGTGAACCTGTTCAACCTGCTTAATGAGAGAAGGAAATTGTTCCATTAGCCCTTCCATTAGACATAACTGCAGAAAGCAGTTTTACTCTGGCCAATGCTCAAGCTTGTCTCCACAATGCTGCTCCTGCCTTGGGCACAGCACCCGTGTGCAGTATGAGGAGTTGTTCATCCCCAGGCTGTAACAAAGCCTTCACCAGGCCTGGGAGAGGCTGCTGTGGCAGGAGCATCAGGTGATGCCTGGGGGGTGGAAAGGGCAGAGAGGTGGTGTGGGGAGGC